TCAGACTGGCCTGGGAGCAGAGCTGTGGCTGGGCGAGAGCCAGGCTCCAATGAAGTAGACTGTGGGGAGGCTGCCTGGTCGCACACCCTCTCAAAAATGCGTTCAGGGCCATGGAGGGCGTGCTGACATCAGACACATGGAAAGTGAAACAGAAGGTTCTTCAGTTACTGTTTGTCAGCACTCTAAATACAGCAGTATACCACTGGCTAAAGCAGGGGTTAGCAAACTTTTTCAGCAGGCGGCCGGTCCACTGTCCCTCAGACCTTGTGGGGGGCCGGATTATATTTTGGAAAAAATAATAATGAACGAATTCCTATTCCCCACAAATAACCCAGAGATGTATTTTAAATAAAAGGACACATTCTACTCATGTAAAAACACACTGATTCCCAGACTGTCCGCGGGCAGCATTTAGAAGGCGATTGGGCCGAATCTAGACCCCAGGCATTAGTCTGCCTACCCATGGGCTAAAGCATACATTCTTCAGCTGAAAGAAAGGTAGTGGGGCATCTTCAGTCACTGCTCCATGGTGGAGCCTTTAGGGACTTCAGCAAGCAGTTACTGAAACCAGAATGCTCACTGCTTCTCTTCCCCACCCTCTACAATAGCAAGGCAGAGCTTCCACGGTTGCAGTTGAGCAATCTCCATCTTCCAAGACGGGAAAGAAGACAGGGATGAATTGGCAGCCACAATTTTTGGCAAGGGTCATGAGTAGATAAGGTTCCTACTTGCTCCAAACCACTTTTTCCCCTTAAAAAAGGCAGATTTTGCATACCAGCACTAACCTTTTCTATAGCTACAACTCTATGAAGAAAAACATATGAAAATCAATTTACCCTGTGAATCTTGGAAAGAGCAAGAAGACTCATAAAATCAAATGCTTGTCTGATGGCATTAAAATAATTCATGTACAGACTGATCTTATGCATCTTTTCTCAGAAACATATCCCAACAAATTTAATGAGATGAGACGTCCTTCCACATAAGTAGGATTGCAGCCTAAAACATACTGAAATCTCAATTCTACTGTAAGTCTGTATTACTATGACTGTTACATATTTTAAATATCCTTCTGAATAATGTAAGGCAGTGGTCTCCAACCAGTCCAGGCCTGAGACCTACGTCCGATTACCAACCAGGAGCACGGGACCCACTGTTGATTTAAACTTAACAGTGTTAGCACCTCACCATATATTAGATACAACAAAAAACAGCATTGGAATACTATTTTTTCAATACAAGCGAACCATTATTTCATGTATTATTGGTAAAACTTTTGAACTCTTTTAGTAGTTGTATCCTCTTTGATTTCCGGTGGTTTTCTCTTCAGTGAAGCTTGTGGTTGAAAGTGAGCAAGAGGGCAGGTCATCATCACCATCTATGCCTTTCTATCACTTCCTATAACTTTCACCACCTCCTTTCCATTTCTGTGACTCGCTGCTGCCCTTTTCTCTCCCTTCCTTCTTGCATTTCTACCCATTCTTTTTCTCACCTTATTCTACTTTAACTTGCTAGTAATACCTTTCTGTCTTCATCTCACATTCCTTTTCACTCTGCTCCCTTTCTTCCAGCTTGTGTCACCCTCTATACACTTTAATTCACCCCTCTGTGCTCTAGCCCCCTTCTAATGGCAACCTGCTGAAATAAAAATGAACAAAAATTCTTGGAAAAATTCATCATCCCCAGAGCCCAATAGAGGCAGCAGCTGTTTTCTGTTGCCCCTTTGTAGGATGACGATGTTTGAAGAAACTACTCTTCAGATTCTCCCACACTAAAGTAACATATAGTTGTACTTCCAAAAAAAGAAAGTTTATTCCTTTTAGTTTGCAAAATCTTGGCATTTTACAATTCCTTTAAAAAAGCAATTAAATAAAACCAAATTGCATTCCAAATCAGTACTGAATATTAAACTGCAGTCTTGTGCACACTTACTTGAGAGTAAAGCTCCGTCCATGACTGAACCCAGGGAAAGTTACTCCCAAAGAAGAGCACAGGAAGAATTGGGTTGCAAGTGGCAACAGTACAATCCCTATTCATGCACTTTAACATGGGAGTAAGAAGAAAAGCCCTGCCATGGTTGAACCCAAGAAGCCTTACTACTGGAGTAAATTCCTCAAGAAATCCAGCAATACAACGGTAGAAACAGGAATTCCTTTCCAGACTGGAGTGTTTGTGTGTTGGAGTGTGTGTTTGAGTGTGTGAGTAGTGCCAAATTTAGACATCACACGGGGCACTGCTGAAATTTTAAAGCTCAAAGACTGCCACTGCTCTCACAAATCTCTGTGATTCGGTGAAATTACAGAAATACAGTGGTGCCTCGCAAGACAAAATTAATCCGTTCCGCGAGTCTCTTCATCTTGCGGTTTTTTCGTCTTGCGAAGCACGGCTATTAGCGGCTATTAACGGCTTAGCGGCTTTAAGAAAAAGGAAACAAACTCGCAAGAACTTGCAAGACGTTTCGTCTTGCGAAGCAAGCCCATAGGGAAATTCGTCTTGCGGAACGACTCAAAAAACGGAAAACCCTTTCGTCTAGCGAGTTTTTCGTCTTGCGAGGCATTCGTCTTGCGGGGCACCACTGTAAGATGAATAGCCCCCTTCCAAGCTAAACAGTATGTTCCCACCAGGGAGTGGGAAGGTGAGAGCAAGGCTGGAGAAGACCAGGCCAATGTGAGGAGGCTTGGCTGAGGGTTAAATGGCAGTAATAGCTTTGCTGCAACCCACCTGTGGATTCGGAAGAACTGGTCAAAGACTTATTGTAGGGTGTTAAAACTAACCCATACAAAATTTATCTTCAGTGTGCATATTTAGAATTTCTTGAAGTACAGCGGTACCTTGGGTTAAGAACTTAATTCGTTCCGGAGGTCCGTTCTTAACCTGAAACTGTTCTTAACCTGAAGCACCACTTTAGCTAATGGGGCCTCCCGCTGCCGTGCAATTTCTGTTCTCATCCTAAAGCAAAGTTCTTAACCCAAGGTACTATTTCTGGGTTAGCGGTGTCTGTAACCTGAAGCGTCTGTAACCTGAAGCATCTGTAACCCGAGGTACCACTGTATGTTGATATTTCCCTTTCATTTATTTTCAAACACACACACCCTATGTATATATTGTGGACTTCAGCTTTTATCTGAGTAAAAAGTGTCTGAAAAGACAGGCTGTGTCATGACAGTCTGTGCCAATGGCATCAGCACTATTTTTAATGCCTTTTAAAAGGACATTCAGAGAAAGCAAAAAGGGTGACCACAGAAATACAAAATATGACAGCATTCCTTTACCTCTGACAGTTATGTCAAATTAGGAATTTTGATAGCTACAACTTCTTCTTCTAACATATATAAGCATCTGCAAAGAGGCTCTCTCTGCCATAACTAGGAAGCTCAATGGCAATGCTTTGTGTGCAGGAGGTCCTGGATTCAATTGCTAGCATCTCCAGATAGGGCTTAGAAAGCCAGGAAGCCATGGTAACTTGCTCCTAAGCAGAAGCACCTTCCTATGTACTAAAGGATAGAAGGGTATGAATATTTTCTATAGCTGCAAATAAAGGAGTACAGTGGTACCTTGCTTCGACTCCCGAAACTGTTAGAAAACCAAGGCACAGCTTCCGATTGGCTGTAGGTTTGGCTACTGAAAAACGTTCACAAACCGGAACACTTACTTCCGGGTTTGCGGCGTTCGGGAGCTGATTTGTTCAACAACTAAGCCGTTTCGGAACCAAGGTACCACTGTACCTGGCAAGGTAAAAAGAAACGGAAAAGGGTCAAGATTAAAGATCTGTCTCGCATGGGGAGCGGGGATGAAGATAATCGAACTAGAGAAAATGGTTGTGAAAAATATGGCCACGCTTTTGGGAAATGTGCACTTAGGGGCACTTTTGAGCAGTGCCTTTTTTCTAGGGGTACTCAAGGGTATGCAATACAGCCACCTTTTTTTCCTAGAAAAAAAGCACTGGTTAGAAATCTGGCACTTACTGTAACAACTTCATGGCGAGTACTGGCACCTTTTCATTTTTTCAAGCAGAAAAGCACTGCTTTCGAGGGCTCTGAAGGACAGCCTCCATATTTGGTGGCGAGTCGATTATCAGCATTTATTTTAGGGAGAAGGGAAAGGGTTTTTTTAGTCCCAAGTTCTCAGTTTTTCCAAGCAGAAAGCAGGCAGCTGACTAAGCCAACCAAGGAGGCTGCTTCGAAGGGGATGCGGGAGGAGGAAAAGAGGCGGGCCGCAACAGGGAAACTTTCAGGAGTTGCCCGGAGTTTGACACACACGCACCAACGCCGACTTCACAACTGGGTGCGGTGCCGGGGCTGAATCAGCCGGATCCCCATTCCTGGGATTTGGGGGGGGAGAGAGAAAGGGGATCGGGTTGGGGAAAAGAGAGAGAGGAGAAGAAGGCGCTACTCACTGGTTCGTGGGGGGCGCGTTCAGCGGGATGGCCACCTCCTCCTCCTCGTACTCGGGCCCGTCCAGCGAGTCGCCTTCGTCCACTGTGCTCAGCCCTCCGGCCGGAAGCGGCGGCTGCGGGGGCGGCGGCAGCGGAGGGAAACCGCCGGCAGCGGTACCCCCTCCGCCGCCGCCGCCGCCCTCCAGGAGCGGGATCGCCGCCGGCGGAGACAGGCCCTTGGACATCTCCGCAGGAGGGGCAGGCCTGGAGCCCACCGAGGGGAGCGACGCCGCGGGGCAGGCGCCGCTTGGGCCCGAGCTGCTACCCAGGAAAGCGGCGGCGGCGGCGGCGCTCTTGTTGCTCCGAGAGGCGGTGGCGGCGGCAGCAGCGGCGGCGGGAGGGCAATGCCCGCTGGGCTCTCCGGCCGCTCCCGAGCCGCCCTCTTCGCCACCCGCTTCGGCCGCCGCCATCATGCTGCTCCGGCTCGCCCCACCCCTTCCCCGCCCCTGCTGCTGAGGCAGCGCGCGGCCGGGAGGAGGCGACAAAGGGACAGAGGGGGAGAGAGGCGGCGGGAGGGGGGGGCGGACGACGGACCAACGGCCTCCTTCTACCTCGGCGGGGAGGAGCTTCAGGAACAGCCGCCGCCGCCTCTTGAGGCGCTGAATGGGAACAATGGGAGCGCCCGCCCAAAGACCTCGCCGCCCGCTCAGTCAGTCCTGGTGTGCTGAGGTAAACACCCGGCGCGGCGTTTCGTCCCCTCCTGAACGGCTTCGCACGCGCTCGCCCGGTGGGCGGGAGCAGCGCCTCCCTTGTTCCTCGGCTGCCACTGTCGCCGCCGTCTCGTTTTACCCCCCACCCGCTAACTCCCCCCTCCTCACGGCCGCCGCCGCCGCCTCTTCGGAAAGCGCATGCGCGCCTGTCCCTCCAGTGAAGGTGCTGGCCGCTTTCCGCAAGCAAAGGCTCTTTGGAAGGAGGCGGCTCGGCAAGGTAGCGCTCTCTTCTTCCCTCGCGCTCTGCCTTGTGTGCCGGGAGGGCGACCGAGGGTGGTGCCTGTTCTTATGACACACACACACACACATTGCAGTGCTGCCAGGGCTCCTTGACGGCCCCGGAACTCAGCACACGTTTGCGAAAGAGGCGGAGGGACTCGGCTGCGCGACCCTCTGCGCGCGTCTATTCCGAAGTTCACTCCTGTTGCGCTCAGAGGGGTTTGCTCCCTTTTAAACTTGCTGGCCGCAGTAGATGCAGCCTGAAAAAGACTTTGTAGGCATCAGCTTTCATGGAGTCGAGCCCGCCAGCACATGGATGCACGAAGCAGACTAGAGTACGCAAAACTGCGTCCCACTGTTGTTGTTTTTCAAACTCTTTTTTTAAAAAAAGATATCACAAGATTCTATTCTTACTGTGTGTTGTTTTCTGTTTTTTTGCTGCTAGGAAAGTCAACAGCATCTCCAAGTATTCGAACCGATATCGTCTCAAGTGCCTCCGAGTCTATCGTTATACATCAACATCCATGAATAAATAACTTTATTGGAGTTTAGATGGCCATTGCGCTATTACCTAGCATTATTGTTTACTAGATTTAATTAGTGCTCTCAAATAGTATTCTTGAGGTTGATTTGCACTGGGCGCTGTTTTATGATGCTTATTTTCATTCAGACTAAAAGTATTTAAAGGCCTTCTTTTCTTTTATCTCTACTTGCTGAATAGCCTGACCCAGAAACTACTCCAAATGCCACACCTTGAATTTTTAATTCATATTTATGATCAGCAAATTGGAGTGGAAAGTGGTATTTCATTCCAGAAGCACCCTGTCATTGCTAAGCAATGGCATTTCCTCAATATATTTTGTGCATAGATAAATAAAGAAAGAGGAATATGATTCCAAAACCGCAAACAGAACTGCCAAACATGCAACTCTTCAAAATAGGGCAGGGTTGGGAGATTAGATTTTTGGTCTATTGGAATAATTGCACAAGAAAAGAATATTTTATAGGAAACGTTAAAGCTTAACAAGAATAACAAAACCTGTGTTATACTCAGGATTAAATTATGACTTCGTATAACAATTAAAAAGTTAATTGGGCATGAACAAAGAAAATTGAGAAATAATGGAGGGAGACACAAATCTGAAGCACTGTAGAACTTGTTCTTGTACCTAGAAGATGAATTATTTTCTCCACTTGGGTTAATTTGATGGTTATTTGTAAATTTACACGAATGGAGGAAAAGTACTGAGTTGAAAACGCCTGGCATATTAGTGTTTTGGTACAAGCATGGGGATGAAATTTGTACTCTGAAAATTCTATCTGTGTGTGTTTGCAGATGGATAAATATGCAGTTTATTCTGCACCGGTAGCGCAGTAGACTCATAATCTGAGTACTTTTAGCTTTGTTGATATACAGCACCTTGAAACATTACATGTAATATTCAACATTGCAGGGGAAATATTGTGACTTCAAACACGTTTATTTTTTTCCTACTCCGGCCTCCTAAGTACATAACTAGTACAGTTGTATAAAGAAAAGCATGGGCCAGTGTCCACACATGCAAACTGTAGTGCTAAAAGAAAGGGCAACTGAAGAAGCTGGACAGTCACAATACAGCAACATGCTTCTTTCTTTCCTGTCTCCTTTTGATGTGTTAGATGCTGTCTGACCTAGATAGTGTTAGATTTTATGACAGATGTCGCAGTAGATTAACTGTTGCCCTGCTTAGTAAACAAAATAACTGTCAATTTATAAGAGCAGCAGCAGATTTTGCAGGAAGGAGGATCAGGCAAATAAATTTTGTAGGTTGGCAAATTTCAAATTCATCTAGTATTCTGGTTACACTGCAAAAATTATGCAACACAAGTTGGTATTTACTGTGTTTCTTCAGTCTCAACAGAGTTCACACATTAAAAAGAAGAGGGTATTGTTACATATACAGCATTTCAATGAATACTGTGGTTTTTTTTCTGAGTACAGTGGTGATGGTATTGTGTCTGTCTTCATTTTCAGTTATTTCCCCTAAGGCACTTTAAAGGAATCAAAAAATATGTATTTTAGAAACACTATGTAAACTGCAAAGGTATGGTATCGGCAGGCAGGCAACAGTGTGGATACATTTATTTACTGATTCACCGGCCCCCTTGGTTCTGCCACAGTCTACTAAAGGGTATGTCCTGTGGCACCAAGTAAGTCATTTTTTCTGCTCTTGCACCTCATTTATGGAATTGCCTCCCAAATGACAAGATTGGTGCCACAGTGATGTCATTTCACCACATGCCTAAAGTACACCATTTCCCCTAGGTCTTCTCTGATCCTTAACATTTCACTGTAGTTAAAACTCTTTTGGTTATTATCTGCTTTGGCTTAATAGAGTTGTTCAGAAGTGGCTCGCCCAGTGGGATGGAGCTGCAACTTTCTGGCAGTCATGTTGCTGCCACTTACCGCAAAGAAGAGGATCCAGGTAATGTGAAGGTCAGCATGGTGCAGGACCACCGATATGTCCAAACTGCCAGTGCCACCTACCCCTCTCCAATCAGCCAATTTGCACCAACCCAACTCATTTCTCTCTTTCTTCCCAACTTTAGCCTGGTTGCAAAATATGATTTATTGATTCACACAGCAACGCCTGTTATGATGAAAGACAGTTTAACAAATATTTTAAATAAGTAAAATATTAACTGGCTGGCCGCACTTTTCTTTCCAACAAACCCAGCACCACCTAATATAAAACAAAAATGTTCACGCCATAACGTATATGGTAGTCCAATAATATACACAAAATAATATACCATAGGTCACAAAAATTAAAAAAAACACATAGCAACAGGGGTCTCCAAGCTTTTCTGGGCCCAGGGGCACATTTGGGAACCATTGTGGGTACCACAAAATGTGTGTTTTACAGAAGAAAACTGGTGATGCTCACTCTCCCCAAAAAAGCATGCAACACAAAACACACATGTCCGTAACAGCCCCGAAACAAACAAAAGGTAAACTACCCTCAACCCAAACCAGCAAAGTCAAAAAAGCAGGTAATACACATCCTAAAAAGAAATATCCAGGAAAATAATTCCTTCTCCCAATAGTCAAAGTACCCTTCTTCCTCTCCTCCAAACTTGCCATTCAGCAACAGGAACCATTTTCCTTTGTGAAGGGTTTCAGCAGGGAACTGAATGTCAAGGACCATGCACCAGTTTTTCCGCCTTCTTTGTTTCCAGTGAAGAATACTGAGCCTACATAGAGCCCCAGGGCATTCTGGGAGAAGGGGAATGGGGTTGCTTGATGCCTTCATTCCACATTCCAATCAACCCAAAGCTACTCAAGGTTAAAACAAACAAACACGAAAGGGTATCTGAAGGTAGCATGTTACCCATGGGTGTCACGTAGAGTACCCCAAAAGTACAAATTTAAAATGCAATACAAAACAAAGTGGCATAAACTTGGATGTTTACATAAGATTGAGAGGCCCAGATGAAAAGCAGAAGTTTAAAAGGCTTGGTCGTAGAAACATGTCTTCTTCATCTGGCACCAAAAAGACCATGAGCATGGCACCTAACATTGTCACTCATCAAGACATTTTCCTGTAGCAGCTCTTCTCCACTCCTTTGAAATTCAGCGGAGTGTAAAAGATAACTTGGGGATACGGTAGATGGGTGTGTTGGAAAATACTGTTAAATGCTGATACAGGCTTGGTATGTGTCCATGCCCATATCACACACACACACATCTATCAGTGACATAAAATCTCTTCTCAGAGCATGAATAAAAAAGTTGCAGACTTATGTTCCATGTGTAATGCTACATTGGCTTTCCACATGAGTATATATATATATATATATATACGCGCACACACACACATACATACATACATACATACACCCAAAAAACCCCAAAAATGAAAAGTAGGGAAAACACATGCACACATATATATACATACACACACACATATGTAAAATATAATATATGCACACTATACATATGATATATATGTATATGTATATATGTATATATATATGTGCGTGTGTTTCCCCTACTTTTCATTTTTGGGGTTTTTTTGGTGGGGGCAGTGGTCACTAACACTAAGCTTGTTTGCCCATTCTGCTCTGAGAACTGCTGTTAGAATGAGTAAAATATATTGCCTATTAAGCCGTACGTTGATTGTTAGCAATATAACCACTCTGATTTACAAAGATGCATTATTTGCCTGTAGGCTTGTTTTTCTTGATTCTTCCTTTGGTTGCGTGTAAAATATTAATGCACATACCATTATATTTAATCATACCCCTACGGTACCATTAAACTTTCAAAGCACTAAACACTTGTGAGATGTTATTAATTATGTTACAGTTAAGTTGTGGTCCATTTACCGTTCTCTAGAGATCCAAAATGGCTGTTGTCACATGACTTCCAATATATAATGTAGAGTGCTTGACTCAATTCAGGTAGTGTAAAAATACTGTATAGCAAGAAATGAATTCTTCATGAGATGCTATTTTAAGGTACAATATACCATGAGCTTTTACATACAAACTTTACAGGGAGAACTTTGGAAAAGTAAGAGAATGTACCACTAAAAATACAATGAACACAGCAATTTGCAAAATAAATGCCGGTAAGTAGGTTATGCTGGAATACTGCTGTTCGAAAACTGAAACAATATAAAATGATTTCCTTAACATTATGACAAATACATGCATTAACTTCAACAAGTATGCACAAGTCTATTGGCTAGGATCCAAATAACTGTAGCTTGGTCCATCTGCCTTAGAGTTCTCTTAAAAGTCTTCCCCCATGTCAAATAACACACTGCTTTTGAAAGTGAGGAGGGGGGTCAAAAGCAGTTTGGGATATAGTACTGTACAGAGCAGGGGTCAGCAAACTTTTTCAGCAGGGGGCCGGTCCACTGTCCCATAGACTTTGTGGGGGGCCAGACTATATTTTTTTTTGGGGGGGGGAATGAACGAATTCCCATGCCCCACAAATAACCCAGAGATGCATTTTAAATAAAAAGACACATTCTACTCATGTAAAAACACGCTGATTCCCTGGACGGTCTGCGGGCCGGATTTAGAAGGTGATTGGGTTGGATCCGGCCCCCGGGCCTTAGTTTGCCTACCCATGGTATAGAGCTTTGCTTGCACTGTCAAGGAAAAACAAATCAGAAATACCTATATGTATTCCCATATCAGGAATCTGGAAATAAAAAGGGGCTTTTAAATCTGCAGCCTTCTAAAGGTAATATAAAACATTCAAATACTACGCTATACCTTATGTGCTTCTTGTTATTGCCATTAAAAAAAAAAGCTTTAAAGGACTTGTGGTTGCTTACCTTATGTAGGATGCAGGGCAATACAAATAAAGGTAGATAAGATTCAGGAGAGAAGAGAAGTTTAATTATCAGACAAAGGTGATATTCTTATTTTCTTGGCATACAAGTTAAAGGAGAATACTTCCTTTCAAATGCCATTCTGTTGCAGCTGTGACTGTCCTTAATGAGTGTTTTACTTAAAATAGACAGAAACTGGGAAGGCTTAAATGGGCATGATATCAAGAAAACA